TGGGCTCTGTTCTCTCGCCGAATGGATTTTTTCAAAAGAGACCATTCGGCGCGCTGGATGGGCTCTAATGTCAGCCGGATGGGCTTTCTTCCAGCCGGATGGGCTCTATCCCGCTGGATGGGCTCTAATTCCGCCGGATCGGCTCTGTGAAAAGGCCTCGCCGAATGGACTCTTTGAAAACCGAAGTGAGTTTTTGAAAAAAACAAAGCACTTCTCATCTGTGGAATGCCCTCGCTCAAAAAAACGCATCCTCATGCTGGCGCCTCTCGGGCGCACCTAGCGCTTAGCGTTCCCGCGCATTCCTTCGAATCTCCCAGCGCGCATGGACTGTCACGTGTGTTTCCTCGTTGTTGTTTTGGCATGCCATTGGTATGCAATGTAGTCATGTGGGTGCTCGGTGGGGGGTCCCAAACAAACGTGGGATGAATTTGCGACTTTCCCTAAGGATCCGCGAAGGATTCCCAAGGATTCCCAGGGATTCCCTGGGGATAACCCCCATCCCTCGCGCCAAGGATTCTTTCCCTGGGGGTCCTTTCAAGGTTCCCCAACGACCCCGAAGGTTTCCTAAGGAATCCGCCCAGGATCCGCAAGGATTCCTAGTGTTTCTCTGTCGGATTCCGCGAGGGATCCCCAAGGGTCCTTAGGGTTTCTCGGGGGTGCCATTCAGAAGCCCGAAACATCCTTGGGGGGATCCGCTAAGGGGGTCCCAGGCTTCCTTAAGGATCCGCTGAGAATCCCCAAGGATCCCCAGGGTTCCCGACCGCTGAGGACCCCTAGATCTTTACGGTGTTCCTGGAAGGTGCGCTAAAGATCCCAAAGGATCCTAAGGCTTTCCTTGGGGAGCAGCGAAACATCCCCACGGATCCCCAAGGTTCCCTCAGGGTTCCGCTAAGGATCCCGAAAGATCCGTGGGGCCCCCCTTGGATCCGCTAGGGATCCTCAATGATCCCAAGGATTTCCCGAGGGAAAAGGATCCTGAGGATCCGCTGAGGCGGTGGCGTGGCGGGGCGGTGGGGCTGCGGGGTTGCGGAGCAGCGGGGTCTCGGGGCAGTGGCGTGAGGTCGCGGGTTCGTGGGGCGGCGGGGTGACATGGCGGTGATGTGGTGGGCGGTGGGGTCGCGGGGTCGTGAGGACTTGTGGTCGCGGGATAGGGTCGTGGGATTGCGGGGTGAAAGGTCGTGGGTGGCATGGGGTCGCGGGGGCATGGGGGCGCGGGGTCGAGGGGTCGAGGGGATGTGCAAGCAGCGCGCACAACGGGGCTATCCGCCGAATGGACTCGGATGCCATGATCGTCATCTTGCCAGCTGGATGGGCTCTAATGCCGCTGGATGGACTCTAACTTGGCGCCGGATGGACTCTAACGCCGCCGGATGCACTCTATCGGTTCGCCGGATGGACTCTGTTTTACGCCGGACGGACTCCTTTGTCGCCAGATGGGCTCTAATCTCGGACATCCATTCGGCGCCCGATGGACTCTATTTTTTTTTCTTGGTCGGTTTGTTGGCACCTCCCACGCCGCGCGCTCGATGGAGTCCATTCGGCGCGCTGGATGGGCTCCTTTCGGAAGGGCCGAGGAGCTGCCGGGGTCGTGCCCGTGCCCTCCGGCGGCGACGGCGGCGCCGCGGCCGTGGCGTGCGCTGCAGGTCCCGGCTTGTTCCCGGGGCTGCCACGCCAAAGGGACATTTCGCCGGAGCTGGGCCTCCCAGACAGAACTACCAATGCCGCTGCTTTTGCCCCATGTTCGGCCTTTTGGGCCTTTGGGAGGGTCTCCTTTCCACCGATGGCTTCGCCTCGGAATTCGAGTCAGAACACGCACCCCGGGAGAGGTCCGAGGAGGACGGGCGCGAGGGTTGCTAAGGTACACAGGAGCATCTGATGAAGACGCCTCCTCGGGAAAAGCTGGGCCAGCATTTCTTGACCAGCTTGCGGGAAAGCTGACCCCGTTTTTTGGGCACGTTCGCCCCAACAGCGTTCACAACAAAACATAGCCCAGGTCTGTTGGCAGGAACTTCAAGGAAGCTGGCTCATATTCCTTAAGGTATAAAAGGTTTTCTTGATCATATGTTGGGCTGTAGTCTAGGGCTCTCAGATGGGGTCCGAGTAGATGGGGTGGGAGGATGGCGCCGCATCGGCGATGCATAGGTGATGCGGCTCGATGTGGAGCTTGATTTTCTCAACGCCAGCGTCGCCGATGCACCGCCGACGTTACGGATGCATGCGACGTCGATGCATCGGCGATGCGGCGCGATCGTCCGACCCCATCTGATCTACTCGGGCATCATCTGGGAGATCTCTACCCCCCAATCTTCCCACACATTCTCGCGTCGCGAACGAATCAGGACGGAGTTGGGCCCTTGCTGTGCCTCGGGGTCGTCAAAAAACGGCTCGGGATGAATCACCAGTCCTGGGGAATGGGTCGAGACCTCTAGGGTCGACGTTTTGAGAAATCATGACGTGGGGGGGTCTGGGAAGGGCATGGGGGGTCATCACTGGATGCCGTGGTGGGTAATACCTAGCCTAGCCCAGCTTGTCAGTGGGCCACAAGCCTCCATGTGGCTTACGGTCGTGAACTTCTGGATAGCGTGTCGCTCCGACGGTTCTGGTCCATTACGTTCCGGAGCGACACGCTATCCGCTTCCTGGTTTCCTAGCGTCAACGTCCCGAGTTTTCCCAGCCCGACGAAGCAGACCGACACCGTTTCCGCTATCTGCTCGAAAGGCCCCCCGCCGCGACACGCTACATAAGCAAAAATGCCCAACTGTAGGGGTTTATCAGAGGATGCCAGGGTGAATGATATCTGGCCAACCTTATTGTAGCTTACTAATGGGGTAGAACTGCCCCGAATGGCGTGGCGATCTGGGCTAAGTGGGCTCATCCCACTTGGCGGAGTTTTCTATCCCCCCATAGCCACATGGGGCTTTTGTAACCCACTAGCAATGCCAGGCCGCATCCACTTATATTCCCCCTACCCCCTTAGCACTCTGGCGCCCATCCCAGCCCCACCAGCTTTCGTTGCGAACGAATATCTGAAGTCGGCCCCTGGCCGATTCGAGGACCTCCCCTCAATGTCGGCCACTGGCCTGTCGTCGGGCCCGGGGCCCTATGGGGCATCAAGCGCGAGTCCTGGGCAGGTTAGGTGGTCGGTCGGCAGCGTGGAAACGTAGCGGCGGCAGGCTCTTGCTGGCTGATTTTCCGGCCTCGGGGGCCCCTCGCCCGGCCACCTTCACCGTGAAAACAGCGAGCCGGGGTGCAGATCTAGTTCCGCGGGGAAGGGCGTCTCCCACCTCAGGGGGAGACAGTTGTCGTGCTGGGAGGATGGGGTTGGGAGAATTTAGGCGCTCAGTGCCCGAGGGCGGCCGAAGGCATCGTTCCTTGCATCTGGATGCTGTTGCTCATCTCCTTCATCCTCCCAGCCCCTTCCTCCCAACACGATAGTTGGTCTCCTTCATCTCAGGAGCACCGCTAAGGGGAGAAGAGCCTGTTCCTCGGGGGTCTGCGGCGGCCCACGGAGGCTGGTGGACGCAACTTGTGGGCGGCTCCGCTGCTGGCGGAGGGTCGGCGGAAGGCGGCGGGAGGAACAGATGTCCACACCCAGAACATATTCCCAGGCACCCAGCGTCTCGACTTTTTCGAGACACGGGCCCCCGACCTCTCGACATCTTTCCTCGGGCCGGTTTTTCACCCCGAGCCGTTCAGTGGACGGCCCCGAGGCCTGTAGGCCGAAGGCTGTGAGAAGCCGCCATCCCGATTGTGTCGAGGCGCCAGGTGTCCCGGGTGTTTTTTGACCCCGGGCTCCTGGAGCGGTGATTGCTGTGAGGGCCGCGGCGCTGCCGACGCAGCTGCCGCCTGCCGCTGCCTGCCGCTGCCTGCCGCTGCCTGCCGCTACCTGCCGCTGTCGCCGCTGCTGCTGCCCCCGACGTTGCCTCTGCCGCTGCCCCATACTAGGTCCGATTTGCCAATGCTCCAGGCCAGGGCTGGACCTGAACGTCGTTTTGCTGGACTTCGGCTGTGTTTTGTTATTCGTTTTGGCAGGGAGGTACAGGAGAACAGGTAGAGCAACACGATGAACAAAACGAAGATCACACCGAACAGCATCGTTTAGGTCCAGCCCTGCTCTAGGCCTCCTAGGTGGGGTCGGAGTAGATGGGGTTGGACGATCGCGCCGCATCGCCGATGCATCGCCGCTGAGGCTCGACCTTTAGCCCGATTTGCTTCACGTCGACGTCGCCGATGCATCGCCGACGTCGACGATGCGTCGCCGGTGCATCCCTGATGCATCGCCGATGCATCGCCGATGCGGCGCGATTCTCCAACCCCATCTGTTCCGACCCCATTTAGGAGGCCTCTACGCGGTCCCCACAAGTCCCGACCCTCACCAGCCACCAAACGACCCTGGCTCAACCCAAAGGCCCCGCGCTTCCCTCATTTTCCAGTGCGTGGGGGGGCGTCGGGAAGCACTGCGAGCACAGATGGGACCCCCCGCCACCCCGAACTTAGGGTTTTCGGGTTTGGGTCGGGGTGGTCTGGCAGGCCTTTCTCTCCCCTGCCCAGACATCCCCCGACATGACTTCTTCCGTCCGCGGCCCCGTGCAGAGCTCCCGACCCCTCCCATGGGGGCAGTCTTGCGTGCTGGATCCATTCTTGGGCGCTCCCGGGCCAAGAGTCCGGGGCACACGCCCGGATTGAAAGAACCATGCAGCGGAGGCCCACGCGAAGAAGCACTTTGCTTGCCTCCAGGGTGCCCTGGGTCCTCCTCCTCCTCCTCCTCCTCCTTCTCCTCCTTCTCCTCCTCCTCTTCCTCCCCCTTCTCCTCCTTCTCCTCCTCCTCCTCCTCCTCCTCCTCCTCCCCCTCCTCCTCCTCCTCCTCCTCCATCAGCTGGAACCTCACCTCCCTCCGGGCCCTCGGCTTCAACAAGCAGGATCTGGAGAGGTACACGGACCCGCTCTTCTCCACCGTGGCTCAAGAGTGGAGCCTTTAGCACATTGGCCAGGGGCTGGGGTGGGGACGGCCGGGAGGTGCTCTTCGCGACGTGGAACGCCCGGGCGCTGGCCCATCATGATCCGCCTACGGCCAAGAAGAAGCTTGATTACTTGATGCACCACTGGCGGGGGCCGATGGTGCTGGCCTTGCAGGAGACCCATGCTGATCAAGCGTGCATGGATGTCCTCCTTCATCGTCTCGGCCGCGATTTTGTTTGCTTCGCATCGGTTCCTGAGGATCGTGCGGTGCGTGCTGCCGGGGTTGCCACTGTCTTTCCGCAGACTGCGAGTGGCCGCAGCGTGCACTATGAGCCGCCTGAGAAGCTGGTGAAAGGCAGAGTTTTGCGTATTACGGCTACCAGTGCAGCCCCGGGCCAGAAGAGCCTGAGACACTGGAACATTCACAACGTCGACCTGGACGCCAGGACACGGCAGCTTGTCGCCAGGCGCCTCCAGGAAGACATAAGCTGGAGCAAGGAGGATCCGACCACTCGGGCGGTAGCAATGGCAGGGGACTTCAACTTTGGCGACACGTCTGAGCCGGACACCTTCCTCCCGATTGTGGACCATGGAGCGCAGATGGCGCGTCACCCCCAGCAGCGCCAATGGGAGCAGGCGCTCCGGGGCACGGTGCTGCTGGGCGCCGGGCGCCCCACTCACTGGCATGAGGGCTTGAAGACGAGCTCGGCCATCGATAAGATTTGCGTCAGCATCCCAGCCTGGGCACTTTGCCAGCAGTGGCAGTCAGCGGACGTGAGGGGCGAGCCTCGAGAGCTCCACCTGGCTGACGTCAGCGACCACGCAATGGCTGACGTCAGCGACCAGCGTACTTCGAGCAGGCGTCGCTGGACCACCTCCCGGCCCCAGACCTGTACGCCATGTACGTGCGCATCCTGCAGACGGCCGCCCTGCTGGTGCAGCAGGAGCAGCTCTTGACCAACAGCGGATGCAAGGCCTCCGCCGCGATGATATGGCGGCAGCTGGCTCGCGCACGCTGGCGGCAGAACGCGAAGCTGGCCGCTCTTATTCTTCGCCGGCATGCTTGGGCACGCGAGCTCATAGCAGTGGACGAAGTGAGGGGCAGGGTGGACATCCTGGACTCTCCTGAATTCCAGCGGCGTTTCAATTGCGCCCAGCGGCGAGACATGGCGTGCAGGAGACGCAGTGCCAGGGAGGCCGCCGACGCCGAGTTGGAGGAGCACTGGAAACGACGGTTGCAGCGCCAAGCCAAGGCACTGAGGAGACGGGCGCAGCTTTGGGCGCCGACCGGTGCGAGGAGGTTCCTCGCCGCCGTGGTGACCGACAATGGCGTGGCAACGTCGGCTGCGGCGCAGCGAGCCGCCCTGGCCGGGCACTGGAGGTCGGTATTTTCCCCTCCGCCGCTGCCGCCGGCGGCCGAGGAGCGGCGAGCTGCTCTGCAAGACCGCTACCTCCGGCGGCACGCCCCACCACGCGTGGATTGTTGAAAGATCCCGCCGCCGAGCCTCTCGGACATCAAGGTGGTGCTGCAGAGGGCGCGCCCCGCGGCCCCGGGGCCAGACGGTCTCCCGGCCTGCGCGTGGAGCGCTGTGAGCCGCGGCCCGGAAGTGTTGCTCGAGGCCTGCGGGTGGCTCCGATCGGGGCTCCCGATGCGCTCGAATTTCAACCACGCGGTGAGCGTCTTCCTCCCGAAGGGCACGGACCCTGAGGATGACACCCAGCCGGGCCCGGGCTTGACGCGCTCAGGCGTGCACGCGGCCGCTGGCTTTGAAGTCGACAGGCCCGAAGGCGATCTCTTCGGCCATCAACGGCAAATTATCTCGTGCCGTTGCCCTCGCAGTCGCGGGTTCGCAGAGGGGGTTCATTCGAAAAAGGAGTTGTGTCAATAATCTAGTTGAGTTGGATGCATGGGCTCGCATTGCTAGCATGCACCCTTTCGACCCCGAGGGCTGTCACCAGGACCGCTCGACCCCCATGATTCTCGCGTTTGATTTTGCGGAGGCTTTTCCTTCTGTCGCTCGCTCGTGGATTCAAGCCGTTCTGGGATCGTGGCAGACCCCCGCGGGGTTAGCGGACGCGGTAGCCGGTACATATTCGCAGGCAGTGATGTTGAGTTCCGACGCCGCTCGTCTGCCATTGTATCAGGTCTGGAGCGGTATCATGCAGGGGGACCCCCTCAGCGGTAGTTTATACGCTCTTTGCTCCCACCCCCCCGCGCGGGACTTGGAAATTCACCTCGAGCAGCGCGATCGGGGGATCGGCCGGTGGTGCGCTGATGATTTGGGGTCAGTTGTCTGGGGATCCCCCACCCGCGCGGTGCTTGCGAGGGTGCTGCGACTCGTGCGTGCGGTTGCGAATCTCCGTCTCAAGCCTATCAAATGTTTTTGTTCCCCACATGCTTCGTGGGGTTCTGGTTTTCTTCCCTGCCGCGTCGCACCCGCGTCTCACCTCACACCTCCCCTCCTCCTCACAGCAGGGTCGGAGAGCGTGGCGGGCGCGGCATTTTCTCGACACCAGAGAGGGTGCGCAGGGGTGGTCTCTCACCGCGGCGTCTATGCGTGCCATGGGTCGGAGAGCGTGGCAGGCGTGGCACTTTCTCGACACCAGAGGGGGTGCGCAGGGGGTGGTCTCTCACCGCGGCGTCTATGCGTGCCAGGGTCGGAGAGCGTGGCAGGAGTGGCACTTTCTCGACACCAGAGAGGGTGCGCAGGGGGTGGTCGCTCACCGCGGCGTCTATGCGTGCCAGGGTCGGAGAGCGTGGCATGCGTGGCACGTTCTCGACACCAGGGGGGGTGCGCACGGGGTGGTCTCTCACCGCGGCGTCTATGCGTGCCAGGGTCGGAGAGCGTGGCAGACGTGGCACTTTCTCGACAGCAGAAGGGGGTGCGCACGGGGGTGGTGTCTCACCGCGGCGTCTAAGCGTGCCAGGGTCGGAGAGCGTGGCAGGCGTGGCACTTTCTCGACACCAGAAGGGGGTGCGCAAGGGGTGGTCTCTCACCGCGGCGTCTATGCGTGCCAAGGTCGGAGAGCGTGGCAGGCGTGGCACTTTCTCGACACCAGAGAGGGTGCGCAGGGGTGGTCTCTCACCGCGGCGTCTATGCGTGCCAGGGTCGGAGAGCGTGGCAGGCGTGGCACTTTCTCGACACCAGAGAGGGTGCGCAGGGGTGGTCTCTCACCGCGGCGTCTATGCGTGCCAGGGTCGGAGAGCGTGGCAGGCGTGGCACTTTCTCGACACCAGAGAGGGTGCGCAGGGGTGGTCTCTCACCGCGGCGTCTATGCGTGCCAGGGTCGGAGAGCGTGGCAGGCGTGGCACTTTCTCGACACCAGAGAGGGTGCGCAGGGGTGGTCTCTCACCGCGGCGTCTATGCGTGCCAGGGTCGGGAGCGTGGCAAGCGTGGCACTTTCTCGACACCAGGGGGGGTGCGCAGGGGGTGGTCTCTCACCGCGGCGTCTATGCGTGCCAGGGTCGGAGAGCGTGGCAGGCGTGGCACTTTCTCGACACAGAGGGGGTGCGCAGGGGTGGTCTCTCACCGCGGCGGCGTGCCAGGGTCGGAGAGCGTGGCAGGCGTGGCACTTTCTCGACACCAGAGGGGTGCGCAGGGGGTGGTCTCTCACCGCGGCGTCTATGCGTGCCAGGGTCGGAGAGCGTGGCAGGCGTGGCACTTTCTCGACACCAGAGAGGGTGCGCAGGGGGTGGTCTCTCACCGCGGCGTCTATGCGTGCCAGGGTCGGAGAGCGTGGCAGCGTGGCACTTTCTCGGCACTCAGGGGGGTGCGCAAGGGGTGGTTTCTCACCGCGGCGTCTATGCGTGCCAGGGTCGGAGAGCGTGACAGGCGTGGCACTTTCTCGACACCAGAGGGGGTGCGCACGGGGGTGGTCTCTCACAGCGGCCCTTATGCGTGCCAGGGTCGGAGGGCGTGGCAGGCGTGACACTTTCTCGACACCAGAGGGGGTGCGCAAGGGGTGGTCTCTCACCGCGGCGTCTATGCGTGCTAGGGTCGGAGAGCGTGGCAGGCGTGGCACGTTCATGACACCAGGGGGGGTGCGCAGGGGGTGGTCTCTCACCGCGGCGTTTACGCGTGCCAGGGTCGGAGAGCGTGGCGGGCGCGGCATTTTCTCGACACCAGAGAGGGTGCGCAGGGGTGGTCTCTCACCGCGGCGTCTATGCGTGCCAGGGTCGGAGAGCGTGGCAGGCGTGGCACTTTCTCGACAGCAGAGGGGGGTGCGTAGGGGGTGGTCTCTCACCGCGGCCCCTATGCGTGCCAGGGTCGGAGAGCGTGGCAGGCGTGGCACTTTCTCGACACCAGAGAGGGTGCGCAGGGGGTGGTCTCTCACCGCGGCGTCTATGCGTGCCAGGGTCGGAGAGCGTGGCAGGCGTGGCACTTTCTCGACACCAGGGGGGGTGCGCAGGGGGTGGTCTCTCACCGCGGCGTCTATGCGTGCCAGGGTCGGAGAGCGTGGCAGGCGTGGCACTTTCTCGACACCAGAGAGGGTGCGCAGGGGGTGGTCTCTCACCGCGGCGTCTATGCGTGCCAGGGTCGGAGAGCGTGGCAGGCGTGGCACTTTCTCGACACCAGGGGGGGTGCGCAGGGGGTGGTCTCTCACCGCGGCGTCTATGCGTGCCAGGGTCGGAGAGCGTGACAGCGTAGCAGGCGTTGACATAAGATTTAAATTAAGTATCGGGGGTTCCTCGGTAGCGTAATGTGCCTCTGTGGGATCGCTTCTCTCCGCAAGTGGCGGCACGGGCCTCCCAGCTGCTCCAGGCAGCGTGCGCGGAGTGGGCGGACTTCCAGATTGTCCCCCACCTGACGTACCTGGGTTTCGAGCTGGGGCCTGGGGTCCAGGAGGGTGTCCACTGGGCTCGGCCTCTCAAGGAGTGGCGCAGTCGGACGGCCGCGATCGCTCGTTCGGCCGCCGACTCGAGCTCTTCTGTCCGTTTGTATACAGAGCGAGCGGTCAGCACACTCTCATACAAGTGCCAGTTTCTTCCACTCCCGCGTCATGAGGTCGCGGACGAGCCACACGTCCTCACCCGCATCCTCCGTGCCCCTGGCTCGTGGCTCCCCCTGTCCGCTTGGATGGATCTGCAGGATTTCGGAGGCCCTCCCATCCCTCCGATCCGAGCGATGGCGCTGGCGGCGCGGATGCGTGCTGCTCGGGAGACTGTCAGCGTGTGGCCGCAGATGTGCATGCGCCTTCTCGCGGAGGCCGAGGAGCGCATGGCAGTAATTCATTTTGTCACGCGCGATGGGGGGAGATGTCCATGGCTGATTTTCTGGAATGAGCCCGCCTTTGCATGGTCGCTCCGGCTGGCGGCGGAGGCCTCTCCTCTCCTGGGCCCTCGGGAGGGTCCGGCGGCCCGCAGCGGGCTGGAGTGCCTCAGGAGCGAGAGAACGGCGGCGCTCGCGACGGGCCCCCCGCACCCGCGCATCAAGACCCAGAGGACCCTCCAGCGCGGTATCACCCCTGTGTTGTACCCCTCTGATGGCGCCCTCCTCCGCGTCATCAAGGAGCGGCTCGGCCGCTGGTTTAATCTGGGGGAGGAAATGCTGCAGCACGTGGACTGGGCGGGGGTTCGTGAGACGCTCAGCGCTTCCCCCCCCTCGTGGAGGATGGCGGCCATTCGCGCCTGGACAGGCGGGTGGGTGTGCGACACCCGACTTCGCAACCCCGACCCCCGGTGCATCATGGGCTGTGATGCCCCAGATTCTCTCGCTCACTACGCGAGGTGCCCTGGATTCCTTACCCGGGTGGCTCTGGCCATTGGCGCTCCGGTGCCGTCGTCGATGCTCCAACTACTGGCACTCTGCCCCTGCTCACTCCAGCGGATTCGGTTAGTCACGATCTTTTATCACCTCCACCGCCTCCTCTACAATAAGCGGAGAGGACTTGGAGGATGGGTGCCTCCAGATTCCGAGGCGGCGGATTTCGCCCATGCTGCACGTCTTGCAGCTGATCTTCCACACAGTGCGGGGGCTCGTCTATGATTGCGAACGGATCTTCCTGGGGACGCTCGGCCTCCTCCTCCTCCTCCTCCTTTTCCTCCTCCTCCTCGGGTCGCCTACGGGCCCGGAGGAAACCGTGCAGGCGGGGAATGCTCTGATGAGGAAGAGGTGCAGTGGAGACCCATGCCACGAATCGCCCTGTTTGCCTCCAGGGTGCCCTGGGTTTCTTGGGTTTCTTGGGTTTCGATGGTTTTGCGATGGAGGGCGCGACGTTTCCACGCCAGAAATCCATGGACGTCCTGGGGTCTCAGAGTTGGGTTTCTTGTGGAAGGTTTCTTGTGGTCGGGCCCCCACTGCACTCATATCTTTACCCTTCCCCCGTTTTACCGTTGTTGGGGCCTCCTCGGAGGCACTCGTCGCCGCCGCTGGGTTCGCCTCGACATTTTCGTCAGAAAGCACCCTGGGAGAGGTCCGGGGAGTAGCGGTATCGGTACCTAGTGGTCTCCCCACCAGGCCCTCGTCGCCACCGTTGGATTCGCCTCGAATTCTTGGTCAGAACGCTCCCCAGTAGAGGTCCAGGGAGTATCGGTATCGGTACCTGCACGGCAGCGCCGCTGGACGCGCCGCCCGTTCGAGGGAGCCCTCGCAGGGCAGCGGGGCGGCGGTCTCCAGGGGGGGATGGGTGCATCGACCCCCGAGCTCAGCCACTCGCGGAGGGGGGATCATTGGGAGTGAGGGGGGAAGGCTTCTCGGAAGCTCAGCTGCTCCGTATGCCGTGTTCAGGGCGTGCGTGCTAGCACGGTGCGTATTGGCTCGGCACGTGCTGGTCCACGTTTTGGCGAGCGTGTCGCGCCAAACGTCTGTTTTCAGTCTGCGTGTTGCGCTCCTTGTCACCACGCTGTGTGTTAAGG